GGTGTGAATATTTTACATGGATGTCCAACAATGACAGTCAAATACTAATAGCATGCGCAAATGTGGGAGGAAAGTTTACTAATAAATAGTAAATAATTATCTATCTTCCAATAGATTGACATTGGCAATGGTTTACTTATAGAAAAGGACCAGCTCATAGCCATCACTCAGANNNNGTTTGGATCCCATCTGAATTACTGCCATAACAGGTAGGTAATTTGTTAAATAAGTTTGTGTTTTACCTTTTAAATGAAAATACTGCAGTTATGTATTGTAATAAGGGATTTATATTTCAAAAGATAAATGGTACATCAACATGTAATGTAAAGCTTTTTTATTTGGGTTAGACATTGATTTTTTTTCTTTAAATTTTAATCTGAAAGTTTGCATTGTCCCTTTGTAACCAATTAATAACCATCAAATGGGAGCCGGTCTTTATTACTGACTTAACCTTCACAGTAGCTACATCTTACTGTATATGTTCTGCATAGCACTTGAGGGAAGAAACTTTAATATTAGACAGTTAATGAAAAAAATATTTTGCTACAAGTGGAATACTTATATTAAAATTATATTTAGATTTTGTACAAGATAACAAATAATATGAAATAATACTTTTATTGGACCACTACTTTTAAGGTATCTGCATTTTATTCTTTAGAGATTACCATAACTAATTTTAGACATTATTAGGCACCGAAATTATTAAAATTCATCCTGCTCTTGGTGGTTGCCTGTTTATGAGTTTTCGATTTAGAAGCCTATAAGAGTATTCAATTTGTTTGCATTTTTTTTACCCCCAGATTTCCTGAGGCTTCAACTACTCTTTTGAGGCAGTCTCTGTCAAACAGAATAAAGAAAATGAACAAGCCTAAAAATTGGGAATACCATGTATGCATTTTTGTTTTTAAATTTGTTATTTAACTGTAATTCCAAACTTTGTTTTATTAGATTTGTGTAGTATTTTATTATATTTGATGTTTCAGTGTGTAGGCCATCTTAAAGTTAGGTTCAGAAAAGTTTTTTTTTTTTTTAAATTTTTTTTTTTATGTTGTAGTTTTTTTTTTTTTATGTTGTAGAACTGATTTTTTTAAAACCCAAAAAAAATATTTGATGAAAAGATTTGAAGCGGTTAATGAGATTCAGATTTTTTAATATTTAAAAACTGGGGGGAAAAGATACATAACCACCCTTTTCCCTCCTAGTTTTCCCCAGTTTTTAAATATTCAAAAATCTGTATCTCTCTCATTAACTGTTTCCAAGCTTTTTGTCAAATATACTTTGAGGCTTAGAAAGATTAGTCCTACAACATATCAACAAATTTATGTCCTCCAGAGCTTGGCTTTATTAAATAGAAATGCTACTTCCACATCAATAATTATATTTACCCTTGTCATATTTTCTTTAAAAATAACATTCGTTTAAATATTTTTGTCTTGCCATATTATTATATATACATAAAATCAATATTTTCTTATTTATGTGAGTAGCAATTATTTCAGTATTGTATTTTATTTTTTAGCTCTAGTAGGTTTAGTACCTGAGTATATTTTTTCTTTAAAGTTTAAACTTAGGGGCCAATCACAATTAAAAACATAGTGTATTAAAAGAGTACTCTTTTTTGCCACCTCAACACCTTTAAAGTGTACATACATGGAAAATGTTGATTTTGCAATACCGTTCTCTATGGCCTTTTTTTTCAATGGGTACATAGATACATAATTAGGTTTAAATATATCCATATTCGCATGTTATTAAATTTAGAAAACCGATTTCAATCAATATTTTAAGCTTTTGTAAATTCCTTTCATTTAATTTTGTATTTAGTACTAGGCCTTTTCCCCCTTAGCATACTGTTTATACATTTGTTGATAATTATGAACCGTCCATACAGTGCAGGGCTATCCGCCTTATGTTTTGAAATTTCTTTTTTGAGTCTTTCACATCTATTAAATTTGTGTAAAGTTAAATCTAATACTGTACTGTAATAGTATATAAAAATATGTAAAACTTTTTCTTTCATCTACCCTTATCAATATCGCTTACAGTACTTTGATGTTATTTAATTTTTTAATAATATTTTATATAGGCCTGCAATTTACCGTAAATACAGCTATTATATAAAATTATTTTTATAAATCTTTATATGTTTACACAATACCACTAGTGCTACATCGTGTGACTTCATAATGCTAGTAAAATTCAATGCAGTTTAATCTTTTAAGATATTGAATCCAGTTTTTTTTTTCTACTATTTAAATGATGCAATGCAAACATTTTAGTTTGGTTGTTTGAACTGTTTATATATGTTTAATGTGTGTTAAATAAAGATCTTAAGAATGAATACCTTTTGTTGGAATTTCTGTACAGTGGGTTCAAACATTTCATGTTTCCTGCCATGAACTACCAAAACACATTTGTACATTACAATCATCTTGTAGGCCTATGATTTTTTATTTTTACACTTTTTTTTTGATTCGTGAAAACAATTTTTTAGTGATCGAACGATATAAAAAAATTATATCAGCGTTATTTTCAAGAGAAGTGCTGTGAATTTTTATGAAAATTAATTTTATCAGTGTTATTTTCTATAGAAATGCTGTTTTTTTTCCTATAGAAAATATAATATATCAGCATTATTTCTATAGAAATTCTGTACATTTCTATAGAGAATAATACAGTTTTCCATAGAAAATATATTATATCTGCAATAATTTCCGCAGAAATGCTGTTATTTTCCATAGAGATTTATATAGTTTTCTATAGAAAAAATTATATCTACAATAATTTCTATAGAAATGCTGTTCTTTTCTATAGAAGTATTGTGAATTTCTATAGAAAATAATAGTTTTCTATAGAAATGAAATTATAACAGCGTTACTTTCTATAGAAATGCTGTTCTTTTCTATAGAGGTATTGTGAATTTCTATAGAAAATAATAGTTTTCTTTAGGAAAGAAATTATAACAGCGTTACTTTCTATAGATTTGCTGTTATTTTCCATAGAGATTTACAAAGTTTTCTATAGAAAAAATTATATATTTGCAATAATTTCTATAGAAATGCTGTTCTTTTCTATAGAAGTATTGTCAATTTCTA